GATTTTATTTGAGTAGTTGTTAAATCATTTCCAAATTATTGATCTACAACACCTAATCGCAATTAACTGTTACCTTAGGAACGGGACTAGTGTTTACTAATCTAATAAACATTAATATTAATCTTTATTATTGCAAATATCAGAGTCAGACTCGTTTCAGAATACAGTATACGTTGATAGATTATATGACATTGATGAGTAACTGTTTGTTACACGGCAGTGTTGCTTACTGCTAACATTATCAATATAATGGCAAAATTAAAAAAAAATATATATATAGAAATGTACAATACTGTACATTACAATACTATATCATTATATTACATTTTTTTAAGATATAGCTCCCTTGTTGTTAAATCATATTTACACTATTTGACAATTCCTTTACGGTTGTTTACAATTGTATAAACTGTACAAATGGTTGTAACAGCATCGAAATATCGGGAACTCTTTCATAAAATTATCATGGTGAGTATCTCGTTTATATAATGTGAACAATTCATATGTACACTTATCTTCACTTATAATTATTTGTATAATTGCTGTTTTTATACACCTAATTATATTATGTTACCTAATTGTAAGTAGTTAAAGATATAATATAAAAAAAATACATACCGATTATAATATTTTTTTAAAAAGTACTTATAACCAAAAATAAGGTTGACAGATTGCAAAATGTTAAATCCGCAATGATATCTTCTGTACTGTATATATCGGGTATATTTTTAAATGTAGCTAAATCTACACTAACTGCATAAAGTAGCTAAGTTGGCAACACAGCTAAACGAAATAAATGCTGTCGAATTTGTATTCCCCGTATGTAGGTAACTGTGATGTAACGTTTATGTACAGTGTAATCTCTGTGTTTTATGTCCGAGGGAACGCCACTAACGATTGATTAATGACTTGAGTTCTGCCGATAGTGAGACGAGTCTGCCGTCCGACAATATTGTCTCATTTATTGCTAATGATCTATTGAGTATATACCTGTACTATATTTGTGCTGTGTAATTTTACTTTCTAATGTATTTGACTTACATTCGCAATTAACATACAGCAGTTGGTGATAGTTCAATGTTTGCGTCCGCTGTCGGTAATTGTTCGTGAGATATTCGTCTAGAGTTAAGTAGTGGTATGTATGATTTGTTTTTAAACACAATATGTTTGTAGCTATGTGGTTTATTATTTTTATGTATTACTGTTTTAACTTACTTCAATTTTATTATGGTGATATTATCCTGATTTCTTAATTGTGAAACCATCTAGCCATAGCAATTCGAATTTACTTTCTGTAATTTATTTTTCAATTTGTGATACATGACGCTACATACAAGTATGCATATTGTAAAACTCGCTATTTAAGTTTTAAATCGTACTTAGTTTATAGTTCATACAACCAGAAGCAGAAGCTGTAAAGTCCAACTGCAGCTAACACCACAAAATAATAGTTCTATCTACAAAGCCTCATACTAAGCTTGAAATATTTTGTAAATTTAAATATGTTTAATATTGTATCATTAAGTATATATACTGTCATATAAAGTTTACCGCCAGCATGCTGTAGGAATATAAGCAAAATTAGACCCAGGCTTCCTATATTACTGTACAGAAATAAACTATCACGTATGCCTAAGTCGAATTAGAATGGTTTGTTTGGAGTCCGACTTTTAACGTCTAAAATCCGCACATTCTAAATTTGACGAACATATTTTACATAAACACACGTTGCGTATGAAGCGTAACGTATAATTTCACAAAAAACGTTGTTATAATGCCCCACGAAATTGCCGTGATTCGTTTCTGAACTCCGAGCCGTCGATTTCATGCGGCCGCTCGTAATTACACAATAATCTATGTTGGTTCTACAGATATTGTTCTTGCAATGACCTAAACTTAAATATCACGCAGCAAGATGCCAACATTATTGTTAGTGTGTATGATATAATGTACTTTATCGTCTATTTTCCTCAATAACTCAACCAAGCGGCCGATAATAAAGCTTTGACATTATAGAAATCCATAATAATGATCGCAGTCAACAATTACATATGCCCAATCAAATTTAATCCTTACGTATATTATTTCAGGGTATACAGCTAGTGATTTATTAATATTAGTAAGCCAGACAAAAAAGTATAGGTATGCTATGGTCTTTTCGTCACTTGGCGTTTTTATAACGATTTCTGAGAAGAGAGATAACGTTCGGGACCGTTGAGTCGATGACGTATATATGTTATAATCATATACTCAAGAAAATATTGAGCACTTCAAAGTTATAATTTTACCGTAAAACGAATTTATGTTGTCAATCTACTATTGTCCTTCTAAAAAAGTCGATAAGTTCCTGCAATACTTTTTTTATACTAACCTATAAAGCAAACATAATATTGAATCATTTGCTGACGTCATTGCAGATTACAATCATTTTCCTTGATTTTAGATATACTTTCAGATATACTTTTAGATAAACATTAATAAACGACTAACACCAGTACTACGAAATTTGTATTAATGTAAATAATAATATGAGAAAGCGAATTTTGAAGTGGATTTGAATCGCCGGAAGTACTCTAGTTGGAATTCACTCACTATTTGGAAGGTTCATTATTCGTGACATAGGAATTTTATTTACATTGAATATTACGAGAAACCAATACAGGCTATTACTAACCTTAAATATACATTTCTATTTACTCTTTTTTATGTACATCATTCATATAAATAAAAATACCAGTAACGTATACAGCAATTTTACTATTAATTTAACGATTAGAAGTAGGACATTCATATTTATTATTTAACAATATTCGTCTCATACTTCGACGGTGATTAGTCGTTGAATCTAGTTTTATTGTGCTTTTAGTTTATCTATATATTAATATTATACCTGTAAAATAATATAAAATTATTTTCTTATCGCTAACATTAAAGCTAATTCAAACATAATTAATATCATCAATATCTTTGGCTGGATAAAGGGTACAATTGCTCTAACCTCCATCTGGAATTAATTTCATCTGTGCCGGTGGTTGCGAGACTGTACGTAATTATCGTGGCATCGATTCTGTTCGCTCAGTAATGAAGATATCGCCCCATCTTCTTTATTGCAGTAATGAAATATGGAAACTGTTGGAGCGGGCATGACTTATTAGTGCGTGGATTTATTTGTATTCATATACATATCATTTATTTGCTCATTTAATTATTTTTAAACTTTAAAGAATTTTCTCAATTTGATTGTTGTTTAGTAGGTTAAAAATTAAAAAATATATCAGTCAGGAATTTCGGTTTCATAATCCTATTATTTTTACAAATGAACGGTTCGTTTCATTGTAAGTGTAATTATACAGTCTTGAGGAACTCAAATCTCATACTTCTAAGTGAAGGCATGAAATCCTTAGTCTTCAAAAGGTACCACAGGTTTCAGATGACGTCATGATGTCTATGACTCTGTTCAAGTCATATTTGTGATGGTTTTTGTTTTGTTTTGTTTTCAGTTACATAAAAGTATATTTCTTTCTAAATATCTCTATTTCTTTTATTTGTTACTCCTTACTTTTGTTTCTTTTTGTATTAATTTTAATACGGTACTTACAATTTTATTTTCAGATAAGGAGGTATTTATTCAGATAATTTTTTTATTTGTATATTTACATAATGTATTATTTTTTATAGCAATGAATTTGTATAACATGTCTAATTTTTTAGTGCACAGTCAATAATCTTTCTCTGTCAGTCAACCACACATGGGTGAGTAGATGACGTCGCAAGGTATTAAGTCGCCTTTTTATAATGTGCATTAAAGTTAAATAAATAGAGAATATAATAATAATAATAATAATATAGATTTCATACCATGTCCAAAAAGCAATGGACGCACTACCACAAAAGTCAATGTTGTAGGCCGTTCACCGGCACTAAGAATGCCGCCGACGTGCATAAATAATCGAGCGTAATCAGTTTTTATCCAGCCGATACACTATTTAAGCGATTGTTGATCTCCGCAGTACCGCATTCTCTATACCTCGGTCGTTCACTAGAAGTAGTTGCTGATATATATGTTACAGTCAACACTAAACGCAAACTACTACTAAAAAGACCCAAAAATAAGTTCCGTTTTTCAAATGAATCCATTAATTTAATAATTAATTGTAAATGTGTTTATTTAGAAATTTGTTAATATTTGTTTACTCTAATGTTATTAAGTGAGTAATAATAAAACTTGTTTCCCCTCGTAGCAGAGACATTATAAACAGCTACAACTCTATCAAATAAAAAGGAAATAAATAATTTGATTAAAATTAAAAGGCCGTAATTAATTTCAATGTAATTAATCAAAGATAAACAAAATTAACTTAGATAACCGAATTTAATTAACTTAAGAGACATTCAGTTACCAGTGCATTAAATGCACAAATGACATTCAGTTTTCCATTAATATGCATTTATGCTAATAATATTTTCAAAGACTTGATTTCAATCTTTAGTAATTTAATACATATTTAACAGTTTAAATAATAAAAATAAATACATTTAATTCTATATAAAAAAATGCAATTTTAAACTCTATCGTTTACAAGAAACATCGAGATGTATTGATGTAGATGTAACTAAGGTTTCGAGCAGAACGCAGAAAAAAAAGAACATGAGAACTTGCTGTTTTGACGGTAGGCTAAACATGCCTAGATTAAATTATTTATAAATTAAATTAATTTTATACAAAATAAAATAAATTTACTTATTATAGATAGTTAATTATTAATGAAATTCTAGTTTTAATACCTACCTTCTAATTGCATTAAAAATACCTAATACGCTTTGTAATGTGCTCTGTCAGTTTTTGGGGTCTTTACACTTTATATTTTTTGTATTTTGCATTATTTCATTACGTTCATTATTTTTTATAACTTAATAATATGTTTACTGCCTTTGTCTGATATTGTGATAATATAGATTACAGATTTTAATAATTCTAACCGTATTGTTTTTTGTTTCAGAAATATATATGACGTGTGTGAACGCCACCGTGTGAAGCCAACGTGATATAAATGTAGGTATATCAGTTACAATAGATAATAGCTAGCCACATAATTAAGGCTCTTGTAAGTAGGCAAATAGTAATATATAGTAAATAAATAGTCTATGGTAGAGTTTTGTATCTTTTATCATAATTCTTGCTTTTATTCTTTTCTAAAAAGTTGCAAGTCTATGGTATTCACATTATTATTAATGGAAACAGTCGGTCTGCAGGAGGAGAAGACCACCAGTTATGTATATCCAAGAAAAAGTTCTACGGATTTTGATTTATTTTAAAATTCATAGGATTTTATATAAAATTGCTCTCATATATTTTTTTTCACGTAGATTATTTTTTGGTACCAAATACATGATAAACCTTGCATAGGTTAACTTATTTGTAATTTTTTCCCTTCTCGGGTGGGCAATCATAATATTATATTATTATCATAATGTTATAACCAAAATTCAATGACACTTTTGGGGACTCCTTAACTTCAATTAGATTAGCTTCATAAATTTTCTTTTTATCGGATGATCAATTTCTATAAGTGGCAGATTGTAGTGCTATTTATTATAATTCAATTTCTCACTTAACCATTTAACTTACGTCTACCATAATGTTTAACGTTACGTAAAGAAAACATAAATCTAATGAACACAGTGCTTGTTAACTCCGGAATATAACGTAATAAATAATGCGACGTTTGTTATTAAGTACTAATATCTTAACCGTACACTGATCTCAATCTCATCCGATACGATGTTATCAGATAGTACTGTCTCGTTCATTTTATATGAATGACCTTTATTAGAGTGAGAGGGACGGCCCGTTTCCTGGTTCGTTTAGTTGGAATGTAATTATTCTGGTAATGAGAGTCTAGGATTCTTGAAAGGGTAATTTGCAAAGGATTGAACCACGTTACGATATGAGTTTGACAAACAACTCGACAGTTTAAAGTTGCAGACAATGACATAGAAACTGAATATCTAAATTAAAATCTTTGAATATTAATTAATGTAGTCAATATTAGTATAATTACAAATAATGTTATATTCGTACTGTATCTTGATGATGATCAAGAATTTTACACAAATCGTTTTTACAAACACTTGATATCATGAGTATTATTGTTTAATAGTTTGATTTGGTCTTGGTGAATTGTATGTGTGTATTTGCAAAAAATATATATAAGTATTCCTATCAATTATTATAAGATTTATCTAGCATTAATTGTAGTGTGTGTATGTTTGTTAAAATATCAATATTGACTACGACTCCCAAATTCTTCAACAAGATAGTTATTTCTTTGGTATAAACTGTGAAACTGTACACGTATCAGACACTTTAATTTGCTATAACTAATTAATAACTAATTTGACAATATTTCTATTTATTTAATAGATATATCATCAAATTCGTTATTATTTATTATGGTGATACTAGTTTCGCTAAGCTCTTTGTAATATCATCATTATCAAACAAGTGATAATAAAATCTTAATTAATCGACGAGACTACGATATAAAAATAGCAATATCATTCATGCGAAAGTGAATAGTTGCAGTTGAGGGAAGGCCTTAACTTGTATCTGTTAAATGAGTCAAGATTTTCCAGAAGTATAATCAGATGAATTTGAAAATAAACGTGACAAGGTCAATGGCAATGTGTTTTTTCGGCGTACCTCCCAAGTGACCGGGCATGCAGTAAGATACAGAAGCATCAATATAAATATTATGTAACAATAAATCTTATGTGATTAAAGAAAATGATTGAAGTAGGCAGTATCTATATGCACACCCAACCCCAGCGGATATTTAGAATATATCTTAATTTTTTTTATAACGGATATCTATTCATAACTATAGTTAAAGAGATATCATTATTTTTCTTTTGATAAGACAATAATAATATTGACACAGCTCCCGGAAGGTCAAGTTGTACAGCTGCCTATCCATTGGATAAACGATTTCTTTCCCGAATACCAATTTCCAGGCTATTTATTAGTTTTTTATTTACTATTGGCATTACTTATGACAATCCTACCTAACAATTTTCTTTAACATACAAACTAATTGCTAAACCTTATCCTATGTATGTTCTTATTATTACAATTTATTTTTTACTATATTACAGTTTTTATTTGAATAAACTATTAGGACCAGTATATACCAGGAATCATTATTGCGCCTGTAGTTGTAACACTATGTCCGTGGCATGTCGTATCGTGAGCACTGGGAAGCGACGTGTGCACAATTATCTACGCATTTCTACATATGTGATGCGCATGCGCTGCCTGTCCGCTGTTCTTGTTTTGATTGTTGTCTAGCAATGTCCAGTTAATTTTATTGTGTAGATATAAAGTCGTAAAAAGTTTCAGACGTAAGTATAAATAAATTTATTGTGGGTTTATCACTGTTATGTTGTTGATTTGATTTTTAATAAATCATTATATAATCGTTAAATATTTAATTAAATAATTGTTCATTTGAAGGACTCAGTGCGTTTTTTTTAAATTGTTCGTTTCATTCTATTACTTATTATACATACATCTATATTTTGTTAAGTATTTCTATGGGATATATATAGTACGCATAGTTTGAGATGTGTTAGGTGGCTTTGTGTGAACGTTTAAAATATAAGTGTGTGCTTTCATTTTTATCTTATTTTGCTCTATTTATTGAACCTTTTAGCTTGTTTACATATAGGCAGAATTGCACGATACCATATATCGGTAACTTGTGATACCAATGATTATGTAAGTCGTGAGTTTCTTGAATATATGTACATCGATCATAACAAATAATAGTACTCGTAATATATGTACCTACTTTCGTGTTGTTCGCAAAGGAAATTCACTTCTACATTACATAGAAACCACTGCGAAATCGCCGAGTCGCATCTTGTAGACGGAAGTTTTATACCTTCTAACGTGCCTTTTTCATTTGTAAACTGGAAATTTTGCGAATCGACATGTAAACTGTGCGCTGTATCACATGCGCGTATCTAGCAGACAGTCGGTGTTCCCACGAGGACTGGCAACCTCGGAGATCGGTGGGCGACGATGACTGCCACCGACATTGGGGTTATCGACTTACATGCACCACCATAAACGACAACTGTTTATGCCCTCGAAAAGATTGTTCTAGAAATACTTTGTTCCGCGATAGTTAGTATTAATTACATAAATATATCAATGTATGTGTGTATGCGTATGCTTGATAGATTTTTTGTTTGGTAGTTTCGACCTGCAAACAGGTGGTTAAATTGTTTCCAAATCTGCTTTTAATAAAAACATCGGTAATAGAAACAAAATCAGAATTTCCCGCTAGTTGTGGAGATACAAGTGGACAAAGTAATTAAATATCGCTGTCTTACGGTTTTTATGTATAATTTATTAGTCATTTTATGTGACGGAAAGCCCGTCAATAATATTATATAGATTATTATAGCCCCACGGATATTTATAAATTGCACTGTGGTGATATGTGGTGCGTCAGCGTTATGTTTTCATGTTTATCTCCATATCCGGTAACTTTACAGTCACTCATCATTTGCCAAATCGTAACTCGGCGGAAAAAATGCAGACAATTAAAACAAAATAAAAATAGTCTGATATGATTCGGCACTAACATCCTGAAAGGCAGTGAGTTTCTCTAAATTATGTATATTAAGGAATAATAGGAAATCTTGAAATAAAATCCAGTAACCGAAAAGTCAGGAGAGAGGGGTAATGGTAGGTCAATCCTCCTTCATTCAGCAGTGAAATGAAAATTGAATGGCATGATGATTCTGATGATGCTCTTTTCTTGAACTAATGTGTTACTGTTTCAGTCGTATTTTTTATCCACATTGTATTCACAGCATTTACTAAGACAACTGTCTTGTTGTCTTGGACTTTGTTTTACCGATATTACTTTAGACTTGTTGTAAAAGAATTTTATAAGATACGATGAATAAGATTTTGTAAAAAAATAGAAAGACATTAAACGATATGACGACGAGACGAAAACTTAATAACGACACATATCAGAACAAATTACTTATATTTATTATCTAATAAAAAGAATACATTGAAATGGAAACAAAATCTAATATAAAAAATAAAAGTCGGTAGAAAATTGCAATTGCAGTTATAATTTAACCATATATAAGATAATATTACATACTATAACTAAACGCAAATATATACTTTAACTACTAATGTACAGCATGGCTACCGTATCATCATCATCTACTTCTTTCTTATCCCATTTGGAGTCTGCGTAATGTTTTTCTCTTCCATTCATCCCTGTTCTCAGTCATCTCGTTATTTACTCCTTACCATATCACCTTTCACACATTCCATCTATCTGTTTTCGGTCTTCCTCTGCCCTTATAACCATCTACATACGTAACTCTTCATTAAAAGTCAAAAGTAAAAAAATAAAAAAAGTAAAAAATCTTTCTTAAAATATTATCTATGGCTATATATTTAAATTAAGCAATCCAAAGTTTTATCTATGTAGGTTTGCATGAAACTGTAACTTTTTTGCTAGCTGTGTTTCAGCTCAAGGCTGAGATTATAATAAGAAATAACAAATTACAGGATAAGGAGAACCACATCCTAAACATTTGATTTCAATTCAATTAAACAAACTGAAATTTTATTCTGAAAGTTTGTATGTAACTCTAACTTTTTTACTTGCACGATCGGGTTTGGCGTCACATCATAACGTGAAGTCCGTAATGCTTCAAGAATATAGACGACGGCTACCACTTACCATCATGTAGGTCGTCAGCTTGTTGGCCATTCTAATTAATAAAAAAAAACTTTAGAAATGTATACTTATTGCCAGCTCGTGTTTATATCTTAACATAAAAATAATTATATGTAATATATTTTGCTACTTAAACAGCACAAATTATTACTACTATCACTGCTTTCAGTACTGTCGGCCTCACAAAGATTATGTGAGATAATGTTTAATAATATGTTGGCAACAAGATGAAAAATATATCTTTATAAGTATTTAAAATTGACTTTTTTTTATA